AAGCTCTGGACATGAACAAAGGTGCTGTTGGTTCTATGCTGCCTGATGCCCACACCAGAGCTATCCACTGCATCACACAGAACAAGGTGAAGCATTTTAAATGTGACAGAATCATTAAATAATTCATACTAGCACTGAAAATATTTTATGTACAAGATGTATGGACAAATAATTTCTGGTAAAGCAAGTTTGGCACTGATTATCTTTGCAAAAATAATGTAGGTAATGTAATAGCTTGTTAATTATGGTTCCTTTCCAAATTCTTTGAGTATGTTGCTGGTTTAAGTCTCAGATTTGTTTCTAAGTGCAATGTAGTAGCCACCAAAGTTATCTTGTCCAGCTGTTAGCTAGTAGGAAATGGAAATGTTAAGTCAACGCACAAATCCAAATCATCTAAAGAAGAGGAAAATACATTTTTCTTGACCTAACAAATGTCCAGAACTAAATTTGTAGAATAATCAACCTGGTCTCACAACCTGATACATCTGGAGATCCTGTGCAAGCCTCATTGAGCAAATATTGTCAAATTCAGTGAGGCAGATAGATCACTACCAAAGAAGGCTGATTCTTTGGTAGTAATTAAAGAACTAAGTATCAGTTTAAAGTTGCACACACTTTTGCAACTAGATTATACCTATTATATCTTATTCTTTCTTTAAAACACATTTTTTGGGGGTTTGTTGACTTTGACAGGATAAATGCCACATTAACTATGATTTGACATGCTGAATGTTGTCTAACAGGAGTTTGTACACTTTTTTGCCATTTTTTTAATAGTGCTAATAAAATATATATTTTTTATTAATCACCGTACATTTTAGTTAACATACATATATAAAGACACCCATCCATGCTGTAAGCTTTTTGATATTTTCTTTTGCATGTACTTTGTATGGGGTTTCAAATTCATAGTTTTATTAAATCTTATAGAAAACCTAAATACTTTGCGAATGGATTGAGACTGAGACACGTTCTCATTTTACCCACAGACTAAATTATTTGTGGACCAAACCCACAGAGCAAAGAATTTGCTTGATTTGGCATCTATAAGCAGTGTGAGCCCTATCTTCCATCTTACTCCTGAAGGGTCGGTTATTTGGCAGATGTCACAGGGTTACATAAGACATCAATGACTACTTTTTTATGTGTGTTACGTAAGGTACAGATTATCTTTGAGGAAATAAAAGTGTTAGTTTGTGGTATGAAAACAAAAGGTCATCATTAAAAAATCCTGTGGTTAACTAAAAGTTTCCATGACATGATGCAAATTCATGAGTATAATTCACCTTGAATGTAAGTTACGGATCTTTCAAGATTAATACTTTCATCTGTGACAGCAGGAGGACAGACAGGCTAGAGTTGATGCTTTGGAGAAAAGCCGTTTCACGAGGTTGTTCCATTATATGTCCTTACTCCCTCCTGACTGTCTAAGACTTATGTGGACCCAGTTTAACAAGCAGATTTTGCGCATATCCATTTGCTTTCCCTTGTGTCTGTATACATTTCAGTGCTTGCAAATAAAATTCCAAACAGTGTAGCATGCTGACTTAATTTGTTATAGAACTATCTTTTGCTGGATCTAGTCTTATCTAAAGACTGCATTGTGGAGTGGCAGACGATTTCAGATTGGATGGTGAATATTTATGAACAACCATTTTCAACTCTTGCACCAGATTTTTAATTGGATTTTGGGCTAGATTTTTATTGGGCTTTTCAAACATGATAGGCGAGCACACCTGCAGCATACTGGGAATCTTAAGCAGAGTGTACATGAGCATGACTGACATCACTAAGACTTTCCTCCTGATTGGTTGTTTCAGACTGAGAGAGGTGCATTTCTGGAGATGACAGTAGGACTCAGAGATTTTTTCACAGATTATCTGTCTCATATTATACTGTCACAACATAGTGACTGTTTTAAAAGTTGCCTACTGTAGCTTTAAGAGGTATTAATTTAGCAATGTAATATATAAATATAATAGTGCTTGCAAACAATATTCCAACATATTTCTTTATAAAAAGCTAAAAAAAGCTAAAGTTCAAGATTTTTATGTAACTTGTTTGTGACAGACACTGTGCTCAGTGAACCTTGATTGAAGTAACTTTTGTGTATTTTTCCCGACTTGCTTGATGTTCTGGACAGTCTGGATTAGCTGTGTACACTCGCACTATTGGCATGGATTAACCCATTCAGCTTCAGTTCACTCTTGCACAGCTGACAATATTTCTTTGGCCCAGATGTGCATGTTCTTTGTCATCACATCTTTTGTGTGTAATAATCTATGGGAAGGGTCTAATTTGTTGTTTCAGCTTGGCTATTGCATCAATGAGGACTTCTTTTGACTAGAGCCTGGGGGCCTTTGGATGGTTTGGGGTTAGTAGCCATGGATCAGAGGGATTGCAACTGGCTGGACACTGCACACATAGCATCATATCTCCCTCCACTTTTTCTTTGTCGTCCCCGGGCGGTCCAGACATCAGAAACTGAAATTTCCGTCACATTTCTGCAAAATTCACCTGGAACTCATCAGACCAGAGGACTTCTCGGAAAACTGGAAAGGCCGTCTTGAACTCCTGTTCTCACACTCTTAATGGAAAACTAAACAAAGAACACCCCCACAGCTGCACTCTCTCTCTCTCTCCCTTGCTCACATGTTTAACTTTATCATCTGATAACTTGGTTTGGAAGTCATGAATGTAATTTATTTGTAGATAAGGAGTGGAAACTACATTTTTGTTGGAGCCTATTTCTGTGGTATACCTAAAGTTTGGTAAATTATGCTGAACATATTTCACACAAATTTAGCTTTCACTACTTTTTATTCTGCACATGAAGTAAAGCCCCAAATCATTCATCCTGTCATATTTAAGTCTAAAATTATTTTCATTCAACCAAGAAGTTTCTTTCTAGTTGGAAAAAAGACATACGTCACTCAATAGATGTGTGTAAAACCAGTGTGCTGTGGGGCATACTCGTAGGAAATTTCTCCTGTGTTGGCTTTTTTCCACCTGCTACATGTTAATCTCAGAATTCAGTTAAAAATCCTATTCATTACATACAAAGCCCACATTGACCCAGCTCAATTTAACATAAAACACCTCATCACTACATATCATCCAACAATAACCCTTTGCTTGTGGGACGCAAGTCTGCTTGTTGCTTCAAGCATACTCAGATCCAGATTGGGTTGCAGCATTTTTTATTTAAAAAAATGCTCTATTGGCAGTTATTGTTACCAATAGTAGCACAACTAAGTATTAGGTTCAAGAGTTATTTTCTCTTTCACACAAAATTAAGCTGGTTTGGGTAATTTTTCCCCTTTAATAAAGTCACCATTTGAAAGTTACTCTTTGCTCTCTGACATTTGTGCAATAATCCAAAACATTATGTTCTATTTAAACATTTAATATGGATGTAGAAGTTTTGTTTGTTTGTTCTTTTACTAAAAAAGTTATTTTATTGAACATATTTTATTCTTTTTTTTGTTGTTGTTGTTTTGTATATTTTAAAGGGATCTACATTCACCTCACAAGCTCCAGAGTCATACAACCTATTCCTGACCAGTGCAGTCACAGATGGTGTGAAGCTGTGGGACCTTCGCACAATGAGGTTTGTATAAATATGTTTTCTGAAAGACAACTTTATGTAAAACAAAATCAACTAAAACTTTGCTACAATTTTTGTTGTTTGTATTCTACTGTGTTTCTGTTTATGCTTTTCAAGAAGGAAACCTAATTTAGAACAAAAAATCAGTTTGACTGGTGTGTACAGCAATATAAACCTTTCCATGACATTTTAAACAAAGCTGATAGTAGTATTTAGGATACCTGTCAAAACTTTGTTTAATATAATCTTTATTAGATGAATGTTTAGTCAAGAACTGAGCATTAGTTTGACCAACTTCTCCCCTGTTTGTTATTCTCTTGATAAAAAAATAACCTTCCTTTTCAACTGCATAATGATTTTTATAACACAAGCATTCTTTATGTGATTAGCAAGTGTTTAATTTCCAAATTTAATGCCCGAGGAGACATTTAACTGACTTTGATTCACAGATGTCCTTGTAAGGCAGATGAATTATCTACACCTTTTTGGATCTCCTAATGTTCTTTTTGGCCTCAAAGAAGACATTATTAAGTTTTGCATTCTTTCAAGTCTGAGGCTCCTCTCATATCAAATTCCTCATCCCAGACTCTGTCAGAACCTACTGCCTGACAAATATTTCACTTTGTTTCTAAGTCAACTCCTACTTTTTACAACCACTTTGTCAAGAATTTCTATGCAGATGATTATTATAATTATTATATTATGTATGTATAATTTTTTTTGTTATTCTTTTTGTTTGTTGGATCATGTTTTAATTTTTCAATCTTTTATTGTTTTTTTTATATTTATATATTTAAGGCTTTTTGCATAACTTTTAGAGAACATAGTAGCTTCTTAGTTACAGCTGACGTGTTTGCTGCACAAACTCCAACATCTGCACAAGCATAAAACAAGTTTTAAATTAGTCAGATTCTTAATAAAATGACTAATAACTGATAATAGTTGGATATGTTTGTACGTATTCTCACTATGAAAAAAAATTGTCTAATAGGGACATGGTAGTGTTGCAGAACTAAAGCGCACAACCCATGTATGGAGGCTTCATATTTATTACGCGGCCATCACAGGTTCGAGTCACGACCTGTTGCTCTTTGCCACATGTCTTCCCTGTCTCTCAACACACACTTTCCTGTCAATGGACTATCAAATAATGGCCACTGCAACCAATAAAATTCAAATCCAAAAAAGGAAATATGAAAAATTAATAAAATTTATATTACTCTGTAAATGGGTCATGAAAATACATTCACAAAATCATTCCGAACAAAGTATACATAGTTTAACATCAATTAATGGACCAGAAAGCAGTCTTCATATGCATTTGTTTATTACATCAATGACTGACACTATGAACTCAGGTGAGTTTATTAACACAGGCCACTATAGTGGCCTGTGTTAATAGGCCACTATAGTGGCCTATTAATTAATAGGCCACTATAGTTAATAGGCCACTATAGTGGCCTGTGTTAATAATCAGAAAACTTCCATATAGTCATCACTCACACAACACAGAGAATGTGGCTTTGTGGAACTCACATCACCACTTTTCCTCCTGAACCATTCTAGCCACATTCTGACCTAGAAATAAAATGATCTTTAAATGTTTTGATAGTGCCATTGAAGTTCTTTAAAAAATTTGGGGTACTTCAAAATGTTTGTTGTATATGTGGCTCTTGACATGTGAATACACAAAACTTTGAACATTAAGCAATTTTGTTTGTACTTTAACAAAATGAAATTTATTTACGCACAAATATTAACGTATTAAATTAACTGTCTTGGTGATTGGATTTTGCCCTCATTAAAGATACAATTTCTACTAAATTTTTTGTCATTATCTTATTTATTGGACTATTTAGGTTGATAGCTACAAACCTTTTTTTTCTTTTGTACATTGCTTAACATACTTGATATTAGAAAACATAAAGATTTACATAGAAACTTACTGTACTTTGTGCTTAAATTCCAAAGACATGTTCACCATAATTTGGAAACATCCTGCTAAATAAAGCCACTTACTGAGAATATATAAAATCAAAACACTGATTTCTTACCTGAAATCAGTGTTCTGACAAAGCTTTGTCTTCATCCCACATAAAGTCGATTTCCATACCTGGCTGCTACTGCACATATCCAATTTCTTAATGGTCACAACTGAACATAACCTTTCAGTCCAACTTAATGACACAAACATGTGAATCTCAAATACATGCTTTTGCGAAATCCTTTTCAACCACAGTCCTGCAAACATGCCATCCCGTGTAGGATTTCTAGGTTAGCCAGCTGTTGATGGTATTATGGCATGGTAAAGACATTACATGCTGCTGCAGACCAAATTAAATAGCCCAAAAGTTACACTAGGGACCCATTCATAGTTGTCTTTTCCCTGTTTTCTGCATCTAGATCTGAGTCATTCTAAACTCTTTGTGTTTAGCAGATTAAGATGTCTCCAAAGTGTGTAGTTTCTGACTTCTGATCTTCTTTTGTGCACCAGTGGTTTTTAGGTGAAGTTAATAAAACGTGTTTCTTTTTCATATCAGCCTGAGTCTTTCCACTCAAGTGAAGATTTTTAATATGTCCACTGTAAAAAATGATAAGTGAAAAATATATTAATCCTCCACATTTTGTGGAATGGGTTTATTGATTATTCAAGTTATGACTCACTTCACCTTAAATGTAAACGTTGTATTACTGTGTGTATCTCTACTACAGATGCGTGCGTCGTTATGAGAGCCATGTGAATCTCTCCCATGCATGTTCCTCAGCCATCTCACCATGCGGCCGGTTCATTGCCTCTGGCTCTGAGGATAAATGTGTGAGTTATGTTTATGCAACAAACATGTAAATTTGATTTAGTATGATTTAGTATGATTGAGTATGTAGAAAAAAAACACCTCATGTTGTATAAGGTGGAGGAACTGTAATCCTGGGTGTTTACCTCTCTTTCAAATACCCTGAGAACTTCACTGTGTTTTTCTCAAATGGGTCATCATTGGGTTAATCAAGAAGTGCTTCTTTATTTCTTAGAACATGGTTCTACAGAGTATTAACAACCATTGATCCATTTTTGTGCCACCAGAGATACAGTCTGGTAGGAATATTTATGCAATCACTTATTTTGTGTTTCATATTTTTGATTGTCATTACCGGTATATATATATATATATATATATATATATATATATATATATATATATATATATATATATAATCAGGTTTCTGTTTGGCATTAAATGGGTAACAGTTCTAACACAAAGAATGCTTTTTATTGGCACTGGAACTAGTTTTCTGAAGAGAGCATTATTAGCTGAAAATAATACAATTCAAACTGTTAACAGAACAAACCACAAAAAGTAAGACAATTTTAATTTATATTGTACTGAGAAATTCATTGAGCTTTACCACGTATTTTGCTAATACTCAAAATATGCTGCATACAGTGCATTTTGTGTATTAGCAAAATAAGCTGTGAAGCACAATGAATTTGTGCGTTAGAATCTAAATAGTCTTTTTATATGTGGAATTTTTGATATAGACCTGTACTTGCAGTTTGTTTTCTTTTACCAGACTAGAATTATTTTGAGTCCTGAACTTCTTTTTGATTTAGAATATCAGGATCTTGACTTATGCGCTCCAAGAGTTTATTCCTCTTACAAACGTTTATGCAGAAGAAAAGAGGAGTTTAATTGTTCCCAAAAAGCCTAATCACAATTCTGTAAACTGGTAAGAACTTGAATTTAATTAGTTGACTTGTAAGTTGTGCATCAATTTTAAACTTCAAAACATCTTAACATTCGTTTTGGCAAATGGCCACTTGTACTCAGTCCTTAAGAATCAAAGTATTGCAACATTAAGAGGAGTCCCTTGTCCCACACACTGGAATTCAATTACTTAAAAGGCTCATTGACATGCAGTCAATATAACATAGGTCAGCTAATGAGCTAATATTGGAGCTAGGTGTGCTAAAGCAGAGAGACGTCTGAAAGTTGCAAGACAGTGGCCCTTGAGGAATGGAGTTTGAGACCTGTGCCCTTGGTGTTTTTGTCAGCTACCATACAACTCCAAAACCAAACCAACATTCTACTGGTAAGAAAACTTTGAAATGAGAACCTAAAAATATAAAGAAACAGCTCCCATGCTAACTCCATATTTTTCAAGATTTGAAAGATTTATACTCACTTTTGTGTCTTATTTATCAAAGCAGTGATATTTGTAATACATGTTATATATTGCATGGTTTACCCAAAAGGTTAAAGGAGGCCATTCTGTTGACTTAATCCCCTCTGATTTACAGTGAACGGGTGTTCTTTTTGTCTCCTGACATATATAATTATTTTTGTAGTTTTGGAAATGTTAAACATTATCTCAACATCTCCTTCTAGAGAAGCCTTCTAGGCCATCTTTGTAAGCAGATTCATGTTAATTTTTCATTGGCCAACCAGATTAGGGTCGCCGACACATTTCATGATAGTGTATGTGCTTTGAGTTGGTTGGAGCCATGTGTGTAAAGTGAAACTCATCACCCAACCTCACAGGACCCCAGTATTAGTTTCCACAAAGGGAGAGTAGAAATACTCCTTCATCAGTTTTATTGTGTGTGTGTGTGTTTGTGTGTGTGCATCTCATTCCCGAGTCTGTCATTGCAGTTGGCCACTTGTACCGCTAGAAGATTTTTTCTGTTTAAGGGGAGTTTTGTCTCTTCACTGTTACTACATCCATGCTTAGTATGAGGGATTGCTATAAAGTCAGCGAAACAATGCAAGCAATTGTCTTTTGTCATTATGCTCAGGAAGAGTGAATGATGCAAGTCAATGACTCAATGCAGCCTGCTGGTTTCCGTTAGAGAACTTTTTTAACTAACTTGGATAATCAACTGAACTTATTCTGTTGTTTCATAGCCCGGGTTAATTGGAATTGTAAAGTACCCCGAGACATTTGTTGGGAATTGGTGCTATACAAATAAACAAACTTAAATTGAATAATCTTCGTCCTAACCACAAGAGTGCAATTATCATGTTAAATGTTGAACTAAGGCTTAACAACAGCATCCAAAAGAATATATCACAATGGTGTGAAAGCAACTTGTGGAGCTGTAGTTATAACATCGGTCATAGATTGCTTAGTTTTGCATGATTTTTCAGAGTGGGTGGTTATGCTGCTTTGATGTGCCATGATACTTGCTTCCCAAACCACCTTATGAGACAGCCAGGATATCATCTCATGTCTCATCATGATACCTAGATACATTTTAAGCTCTCTACTTACTTTAAATTATTGCAGTGAAACTAGTTTAATGAGCAAAGCTTTAATGAAAAGAAGTTGACCTTCTTTTCTCCTGATCTCCTGATCTTCTTTTCTACCTTTAACATTACTGTCCAATTTTGTTATTTTGGAGGTCTGAACTCCATTACTCTATTTTCCCCATAACAGACTTTTAAGTTTCCTGTCTGGATGGAAAAGCTTTTTATTTTCCACCAAGTTAGTCGTATCCAGACTGTATCATTATCACTTTTATGTCCATTTAGGCTCATGATCATTTATGCTGCACATTTTTCATTTGTAGTCAAGATTTGTCCCAAAGTAAATCAAACCGTGCACTCATATATTTGTAGGGCTGTTTAATTGCTTTTTCAGACAGTGTCTTACCCTTACTTTGAAGTCTTTTTCAGAATAGACAGACTCCTCTTTCTTTAGCTATCTCTCTTCTATTATATGTATTTGTGGAAAGCATTGAAATAATCTATCCATTCTGGTTGATGTTATCAATTATGGGCATTCAGCACAGCATGGACATTTAGAGTATCTGTGTTGAGATGGGACATTTCCAACGTTTCCTGGAAACTGGGAGAGTATTTGTAGTGTGCTGCAGGGTATTTATTTGTGGCTACCCTGAGACATCTATAAGCCATGTACATTTATACTTGTCATAATATCTCAAAAAGCAATCATGGTCAAAAAGGACAGGAACACTCTTGGAGGACTCACTAGATTGTTTTATACTTCCCAAAATCTTGATTTGAAATCCTCCAGGAGGATAATTACATTTTTACGAACTACAGACTTTTTAACATTTTTACAAACTATACAATACATAGGTAACATATAGATTTCCAAATTAAGAACATCACTGATGGGTTATGAGTTCTTCCTAACCATCGTGACCAATAAATATGCCAACAAAAATCATCAAACAGCTGGCCATCATTTTCCAAAACCTTTTAAGGGACATTTAACCAAATATTAGTGAGTATGTGTTTACTATTGAGTCTGTATGATTACAATACTGTAAAAAAAAAAAAACTGAATAAATTCAAACTTGATCCAAATTCTTAGTTTTGAATATTTCTGAAGTTGTGTGTTATTATTCAGCATCCTAAAAATGTTTCAGATAAATCATTGAAAGGTGAGAAGTTATGACGTTCGTGTCCATAATGATGGTGCACAATCTTCTGACTGGTACTGTGGCTTTCTTTCCATGTTTCAACATTCTCCTGCATCTGGGCTTAAATGGATGGTAATAGCTAATGTTTTGGTTGATGTGTCATTTCAGGCATATCTGTACGATATTCGTGCCAGCACCTATCTCTACAAACTCCAGAGACATTCAGACACAGTCCTCAGTGTGGCTTTTAACCCTGCAACACCAGAGGTATCAGTAAGCTTTTACACATTTCTATCATCTTTTTCATTAAAAAGTCAGATTGTACTAAATCTTTTGTGATATTGTACTCTTAGCACATATTCCTAATATAAAACATGATGGTAGAGTCATGCTTTTGGAATACTTTTCTTTAGCAAGCACAGGAAAGCTGATTACAGTTGATACGAAGATGGATGGTACTAAATACCAACAATCTAGAAAAGAAAAAAGAAACATATTAAATCCAGCAAAAGACATGAGACTGGGACAGGAGAAACTAAACACAGCTACACTGGAATGATTTAGAGCAAGGCATATGCAGGTGTTAGATTGGCCCAGTCAAAGGCCAGGCCAAAACACAGTTTTTAATTGTTGATGAAACTTGAAAATTGATATTTGCTGAGAATCTCCAGTCAGTCTGATTGAGCTTGAGATATTTTGCAAAAAAAAAAAAAAAAGAAGAATGTTCAAAGTCTCTAGTCTTTTTGGAGGATTTCTACATTTATGTTTTTTTACTCTATTTTATTGTTATGCAGTTAAGACAGAAAACTTTTAGAACTCTGACATTGATGACATTAACAATGATTTATTTATTTATTTTTAATTTCCCTTCAATATTTGTTTAAATTTGAATGTGTAACAGGCAAGCTATAGTTTATCATTTAAATCTAATTGGCTCCACATAGCAAAAAACAACACACAAGCATACATATATATATATATATATATATATATATATATATATATAATATATATATATATATATATATATATATATATATATATATATATATGTAATAGTACACTAATTTCTTTATAAAATGATTTACAGAGTTGTTTGTAATGCATCAGAGAAAGGGAATTTGCACCTGAACCATTTTTAAATACGCACCAAAATCACAATTTCCACATGATGACTCCTGAGACTAGTTGACCGCCCGTTCGACCCACAGCACATGTTTTAAATCTTCACATCCATCTGTGAAACTCCATTTGGAGAAAACTTTTCATCACATCAGTGATATTTTCAGATTTTCTAGTTTGAAAATGGAAACGTTGGCCCACAGCCATTAATCGGCTACAATGATCTGCACAGTTTAAAGCCACACATAATCGGTCAGAGAAAACTTGTTCCACTTCAGCTCTTCTGAATGTTCTATTATATTTGATAAGACACGAATTAAAAGCAGACACAATTTTATTGTTTTTTTTTTTTTTTTTTCAAATATTGCCACATTAAGTTAAACCTTGACTGAGGGCTTTTTTTATGCAGATGCTTGACATCTTTCTTTGTTCTTCCAGAAGAAGGTTGTGATCGCAATCAAATGCAAATGCAAGTTTGTGCCATTTGGGGAAAAATATGTACAACGTCTGCCACAATATATTATTTAAAGTGTATAAATGTTAACATTTATTGCTGCTGATTGCCAAATCCACAAATGGAGAGCAAGCACTCTGTTCTCTTTATTCTTTCTTTAATGTGCGCAAGGTTTACTTATGCCAGACTCACCTTGTGATGCTGAATCTTAGTCTCATCTGATCAGAGAACACAGGGCCAGTTAAGTTCTAAGGCATATTTAGCAAATTACATGTTGTAACAGTTGGACTAAAAGATGACCTGCAAAAAGGATTCAGATGCTAGGTTGCTAAATTTAAACTGTTGGCTAAAATGTTTTCCGAACCTGTGCTCATCTTGCTGTTTAGCCACATTTCAGGACCAGGTGTTTTCCATATTTGCTGCTGTGAGAAGCTTTTGATGTTTGACACAGGCAGATAGTAATGCATTTTTCTCTAATCATTTTCCATTCATATTTCCCACCTCATTACTTCAAAAACCATGAAAAATCTTCTTATAACTGTGGTCAATGGAAGCGTTATTATAATTTCATTTTATTTTTATTTCTGTGTTTTCACAGTGCTTCTGCTTCATAACCTTATTGGTGTATAGTATCTGCAATTAAATATAAAACAGTAGAGTTTTTTTGCCACATTTTTTCTTTGGATTATGTAAAGTTTATTGGGTTATTGATTGAAACTTAAAGAGATCACCTTGTTTTCTTTCATGTTGCATTCTGTGTGATACTGCAATTATTTATGAAAGAAATGCTTTGCAACTGAATTAATCAACAATGAAAGTGGTCAGTAGTGTTCAGAAATTAGGTTACTTTGATTTCAAAGTCGACCCAGGAAAATGTTGTAATACTAGTGTCAGTATTGGAATTGAATTTGGTTTTAAAATATTTTAAGTATGAAAAGGTCTCCCACACCAGCACACCATAAACAATTTCAGCACCTTCTGCACTAACTTGCAAGCAGTGTACAAAAAGTACTGAAACAACATTGCCATATTATTTGAATACATTTTTTGAATTGCAAAATATATCACACAGTAAGAAAAACCTGTGCCAAACTAACCGGCTTCCTTCTGCCAACGTATCATGCAGCTCCCCATTTGCAGTTATTCTCCTTGTATAAGATTTCACAGTGCTGGAGCACACAAAGTAAGGAATATTTTTTTCATTCCCCTATGTTCAGTGTCTCTTAAGCCCAAAAATATATCTATGATCATGTTTCTACATATTAGTTTTATTGCTTTGTTGGTATAGTGAAAGCTTGGCATTGTGGCTGCCCCTCTACTTTTCCATGTACCAAATCCATCTTTCTTCTTCATTGGGATTTTTATTACAGAATATTCTTTTATATTGCTATTAGTGGGTGTTGTGCTACACAACTATAAAAACATGTAAAAGGAAAAATCTGTTCTAATCATATTATCACAGTCGTAAATTTTCAACAAGCTGACACGTTTTCTCAAGGATTCCAATATTTAAGAAAAGTATCCATTGAAAATCTAAACTGTGCTGCATTTTTAAGTGTCATATTTATTCTTGCTTTGAACTATGGATATGTGCTCTATGGTATTGAGCCATCATGACCGACTGTAACTTAGATTATGTAACAAGCTGTGCGTCTCCTGCAAGTCCACAATCTGATTTCACTTAGCATTCCTCAAAGGTTTTGAGTTTAACTTTGATCTGGAAAAATACAATAAATCAACAAAAATCGCAAGATGTTTCAGAGACTTATTTTTTCTATTTTTATGTGAATAAAGGTTTTCCAGATTATTAAAGGGCAAATAGTTTCGAAAAACAATTTATGCTCTGCTTGTGTAAGAGTTGAATTGACTTACATCAGGACATTTGACGGTGCCAATCAAGTCATTAAACAGAAACCCAACCTATGAGGGCTGCTTTTCTTCGAAGTGCAGCATTTAAGAAAACTCGATAACTCATTTGAACTGGTGCTCCCTGACCTCACCATGTATTTCTACAGTAAATCATCTTGCAATAAGCTCTGACGTTTTGCCCCGGGGGTCACCCAAATTCCCGGTTTACGATTTATGTGTCGGGTTGAAGACATTTGCTGGAACCAAAAAAAGTCTATTGCTTTTTTTTTTTTTTTTAAGCAAAAACAGTTATTTAGTTTCAATTTTCCATTTTGGCATAAGAGAAATTGAAGTTCTTTTTCCATTTCATTTAAGAGGTTACAGTGTCTTTTAGATTTGATCTCTGACCCTGTTAAGTTTTAAATAGCTGCTCTTGCAGTGTGGGAGGAAAGACCTCAACTGTTAATTAAGTTCGCTGAGTAAGATGACTAAAAGGCAACTCCTTAAAGGTTAAAGACACTGTAAAGTGAGCTGCTGCATCATTTAACAGATTCCCATATACAGACATGATGTTCTCGTTTTTATCTGGCTAAGTTTAGAAGAAACATGCTCTTCTTTGGCCGTGAAGTACACTTAGAAATTATTTGTGTATTCAAAGTAGACTGAAACCTTCACCCTTCAAAGGCAGATAAACTTCTCTCCATTTTATGATGCTTGAGTCATCCTCGGACCAAAGCATTTGTGACTCCCCTTTCCAGTACAGTCATCTGCCTGCTGGTAACAGATTTATCCAGCATAAAAATGCTGTAGTGTACACGGAAAACAATGTTGGAGGACAGCTGGGCCAAATGTCTTGTTTTTACCAAGTAGTTTTCTTCTGTTCCTGTTAGATTTCTCTGAAAGATACAAGTTTTACAACCAGCCAGCACCTCCAAAGAAATTACCATAAAGGATTTTAATACAGTCAGTGAAAATTAAACAAGAATCCCTAAAGAAACAGTTTATTATTTTCAACGAATTGCAGTTATTTTTGTACTAGAGCGCAATAAAGTTGAACAACTATACTTGATTTAAATGATGTGAAACAGAGTTAAAATTTGCTTTTAGACATTGACGTAAAATTTTGCCCATTTCCCAACTTCAACTCTTTTAACCACTGCAGTCTAAAAATAGTGACTTGTAGAAGTTTTATTAGGGTAATAGGGTATGCAACAATATCCAAGCATCTTATATTTACAAATATGTGTTGCTCTGTTACATAAAATCCCAATAAAATATGTTCAAATTTGTGCTTGTAACATATGGAAAGTTAGGACAAATTAATATGCTTGCGAGTAACTTTGTTGTATTTAAATTGCAAGTTTCCTATAGGGAATGCCCACAAACATTACACTAGAATACATTCTGGGATTGTGAGAGTTACGTACCTGTCAGCTCTGCCAAAGAGCAGTCAATAGGTTGTGGAGAAACTTGGTGACAGACAAATAGAAGAAAAAGCAAATATGGAGAGAAAAGGCGAGGAAGCATGGTTGTATTTATTGTTAGAGAGGTTATGAACCGTTTTTATTTCTCAGAGATTTGGAACTTGAGCATAAATTGGCCAAAACTAACAATTACAATTTTCCAGAGAAATGTCATTTTCTCACGATCCAACTGTAGCACCGTAATGATGGTTATTTTCACAGCCAGCAAATGTGCTATTATGCAAACGCTGGTAATAACTTTTAGATAGATTAAAAAAATAAGTACTCTTCTGGTTCCTGCATGACTTAGTACTCCAAATTATGATATAATTTGATAAATGCTGGGATCTCAAACTCAGCACATTTTTCCCCCTATGGTAAGGCCTGGATCTGACATAGTTCTGCACAGTAGTTTCAGCTGGCATATCAACCAACAAACTAGTACACTAGCACTACACTGTGACATCATGTGGCCATCCTTATTGGCATTGATGCTGTTTGGCATTGAAAGTGTTGCAGCAATGCTTCATTACCACTACTTGGTCTTTTGGCTCACAGAAAACTTATGAATGAAGTGCACTTCTCTAGAATCAAAAAGTGATTGCCTTTATGTGTGGCTCTTAAGTATTGACTAGAGCCAGAGTGGAGATTGATTGTAGCTTACTGCAGCTTCAGTGTTTTAAACATCATACATCAGAATTTGGATTACCATTTTTTTTAATGACAAACGACACAAATGGAAAATCAATCATTTCTATGGGAAAGGTATCTTTGGTCCTAAGCACAGTGGAACAAGAAAATCATGGCTGTTTGTAAGTCCTTTTATCAGTAGGTTGAAAAGAAGTGTCTCGAATGGCATGCTTGTCAAGAAAGTTAATCCAGAAAATTAAGTAAAAGCTGACACTGATGTCATTCTTTCTCTCTCTTCCTTTCTGTCACTATTCTAGTTGTTAACAGGAACCTTGGACGGGAAGCTACGACTGTTTCAGTCAAGCACAGGGTCCCATTTGTCCCATGACACCAGCGGCGCTGTTCTTTGCATCTCTAACGTGACGGCGTAATTACAGCTGGCTGCAGGAAACACCATGCAGCTTTCATTAAGGGAGCTGAAACCCACAGGCAAGGATTTTATAAGAAAGGAAGAATTTAAGTATTTTGTTTCTGTTTCTTATATCTAAATGAAGATCAGAAACATGCTAAGCGTCACTGCTGATGTATGTTCTTTTTTGTTTGCTATGAATTTTAAAAATGAGCAACACATTGCAGCTTGTTCATCTTTGCTAATCTCCAAGTGTTTACTTGTTTCCTTCTGACTGAGAGTCAGAGGAATGTCAGAGTTAACCACACTAGTGCGGGAAGTCTGTATTTGACAATTGTAGATAAATTTACAAGAAGCATTATTATAGATCATTCTAATTTATTAAGCATTTAGACAGTCAACCATTACAATAACTATTGTTACTTATGTGGAACAGACGTATAGTATCACAGGCGGTGGCCTCTGTTTACCAAATCACTATGTCAGAGCCATGACATCAACTGGGTGCAACCTTTTTGACTGCCAGAAACACATATGCTCCTACTGTTCATACTAACAAACCAGGCTTCAGATTTTGTAGCTCCATAGTAAATCTTTTCTCCCTGAATCATAAGTAATGACACAAGTAATAATATCCGTAGGGTAAAGATAAAAAGTCTTTTATGCATTTTATTCCGATGATGCACTAGTGTGGTCTATTAAAAACAGTCTAAAGGACATGAGAATGTCTTTAATACAAGACATAAACCTAAATGTAGATTTAGCTCTGATTATAATTTGAAGCTAGAGCGCCATAATACATTGAATATCAAATATTAGTGTGCAATATTGCTTCACAAAGGGCTAATTTTGCATAGTATTATGTTTTAAGTGTAGCTGATTAATGCTATTTATAATAATAAATAACATTAAGACTATAACATCCCTGAATGTACACCTCTCTGGTCCATTATAAGCGCTCAAATTGGGTTATAGTTGTTGACCCAACTATATAAGTTGTTTACATTGAGAACACTAGAATTTATATCATATAAGTGAGAACACTAGAATTTATATCATATAAGTGAGGATACCAGCATTCACAGGAAGCTAATCATTAACCCAAAACAACATAATCATTCCTCTTGGGATGGAGTGAAGCGGTCTTGGGGTGGAGTGAAGTTCAGGTGACGAGCGGCGTCATGGATGAAGTACCTTATCAACAGAGGCTTGCTTTGTGATTGGCTATGATGAGGTGTGGTCCAGTGCTAATAAACTGCAGTTAAATAGTACCAATTGGTGAGGCAGAAGAGAGTTTTCCAGCTTCTTTCAAATCTAGAGCAACCATGAAGCACTTTAGAAGGGCTGACATGGTCCAACTTGGTGGTTGCCAGTTGGAGCAGAACGTCTCCTAATCTGCAAATAAACACACTCCTCTTCTCTGTGTGGATACAAGAAAAAGAAATTTCATATTTTATTCTGTTGATGTTACTTTATAAATCATATCAAACCGCTTGCTTCTGTTTTCTCCAGAACATTTCTTCTACGGGTATTTTGCAACACTTAATTAAATCTTCAGAGGCTTCAGAGGACTTTACTTTTCTGGAAAATATTAAAATTTCCAGCTTCACTCTTCTCCTATCCATTAGGAAAGATATTGTACTTGATGCCGGTGCTGAAGATGGAATGATAAATCCTCTCCTGGGCTGCTGATTCATAGGAGTTCTCATTTCTTTCTTGTTCTCTGTCCAGTAGTCTGCTTTTGATTTACACTGTTTTTTTGGCCTATGTGCTTTAATTGATTCCAAAGCCAGATTTCCATATGTTTTATTATTTTGATTTCAACTTATATATTTGTAGCAGCCACATTTCTTATCACAAATGCTGGTGTTGGGTCTGTCGAGGATTATGTTTGTCTGTAGTATGTGGGATTTGGTTTCTGTTTTTGTGCTACAGAGACAGATATGTACTGGCAGTGCTGAGTTCATCCCATCATGGTGAGCTTTAGTGTTCCTCCAAGCAGAAAAATAGGAAAACAAAACATAATAAATTGTCTTTTCTGACTAAATTTATGAAGCAGCATTCTCCCCCCATCTGCATGCTGGAATGTGTTTCCATCTTCTATTAAATGAATTAAACTGCTGCTTTTATAAACTGGGTAAATTTTTTTCAACAAAGGTTATACATTGCCATATGCGCACATTCCTCCTTTGTGTGAGATGTTTGAGGTTTTTTTTTTGGGGGGGGTTTGCGTATACTCCATGGGTTGATCTCAGCAGAATAGATGGGGGATGTAGCTGAAAATGGCCACACCTATCAACCCTCATTTATTCCGATAAAGGGTTAAATTTTTTAGAACATTATTTTGTTCTTTTTGTTAGAAGAACTTTGTCTGGACCAGGACGTGCACAAATTTAGGACTTTGGCCAGAATTTGATACCACATTCTGTTTGTACTCCAGTGTTAATGCAAATGCTACAATATCTTACAATGTTATCTCATTACCCCTTCGAATTTCAGTTTACATGATCTTGAAGCTATATTTTGGGCTGAAATTTGTGAGCAATCAGCTGAATATTCCACAAAATGCTACAATGAACTCAGAGTTACAGAAGGTGAATTTTTACAATGCCTGAGAAATGTTGAAATTTTGAAATTTACCACATTTTGTAATACAAAATACACAAACTTCAAGTTATAGACAGAATTAAAGCAGGTTTTTGCAGTGAAAAAATCTCAAAGCATTAAAAGTATTCAACAGAAAAAAAAATCCCACGAAAGACATTTGTGTCTCTCTTGCTAATTTCCCCTTATTGGGTGCAGAAACAGCTGGACAGCAGATAGGATTTTGTTTTTTCTGGCTGATTAATCAAAAAAGGATTTGGGCTTTAAACATTTTACTGCATTGTTTCAAAACAATCGAATGGAATAAATTGTACCATAAAACTAGTCAGTGTGTGGTTTATTGAGCAGTTGTTAAGATTTGGATGACTAAGGTAATGATGTAGATCCTTTGAGAGAAAAAGGGAGATGTCTAGGAAATTAAGTAAAGCTCTGTAAAGCACTAATTAAGCACAGCAGCAAACAGAAAACAAGCTTGGTATAAGCATCAAAGTGCTGAGAAATTTCTGCTAATCTCTTACTGGTAACACAGCCAACACAGGCATCTATAACAGATCATAAAATCAAATATCATAGACAAATTCCATACAAATAAAAAGCTACTTCTCTGTGAGGTGAAATAAGAGGTGCTGAAGCCCAGGACTCTGCTCCCTCCCTCAAGGCCCAGCTTCATACAAAGGATGTACCCCTGACCCTTCCAGAGCCCGACACGCTGGGCAGGCACCAGACCGCTGGGGCTGCTGTAACTCAGAAGGACTGAGAAGGGCACATTACCACCCCTCGTGGACAACAAACTCCACATGGGGGCCTCTGTCCAGCAGACAACAGATTAACCAGTTACCAATACAGACCCGAACAACCATTAATGGCTGCATTACATATTCTGTTTGAATTATGTTAATAAACCAAAGCTAATTACTGAACTGCCCTTGCACAGAGAGAACACTGAGAATTGCCTCAGCAAAGACAAGATCTTTTTACAATGATGTAACGGGAAAAAAAGCTCTGATGTCATGCTTCCCCATAGCACATTTAATCTTGTTTGTTCTTTGCATTCACAAAAACTAAGCCAAACATTGTATCCAGGTCAGATGCCATATTGCAAAGCTTAATAGTACTGCCAAGAAAACAGGCTCTCTCCTTCAAAAATTACCACCAGGTAAACATCAAAATGTGATGGAGACGTTCCAGCATTTGTTTAGAAAATAGACATAATTGCAAATTATGAATATTTATGTTAGCTGTGCACTCTAAAACATAGTAGGTTAAAAACTGCTCAATTGGACTTACTTTGTTTGTCTGGTCCTGGTTTAAAAATATGGCAAAAGAGCTGTGTTGTGAGTTTATGTTTTTGATCAGTGATGACCATAACTTAGATTCCAAAAAGTATTTGGGCCGAAGAGATAATAATAATTAGATTAGAAGTCAGAAATGACCATTTGTAAGGAATCACAAGGCTGCTTTAGCCAAACTCAGTCCTGACAGTGTAATCCAGCAGTTTGTTTTTGATATAAGATGACTTTAATGTACGTGTAAAAAGCAGTTTGTGTTGCTAACTACTAAGAAGGTTAAATGCTAATGTTATGCTAACACTTGTGGTTTTAGGGTCACACAAGTCAATGCAACCCATTTATGTAGCAGAGGTTATAGACAATAGTTGTACCATCTTATTTCTCTTATTTCAAATTATTTCTGATTTTAATCTGCAATAGAGGTGCAGTAAGGTCTGATCAGGTTGTTTTATAGTTCAAAATGAAGATGACGAGGCCCCTTCTAAACTTATTTTCATGAAACAAATTGCAATTTTTAACTATCATTTGGATCAGTCTCATCACAATGATCTACTATTACTAGTTTCCACTGGTTTACCAGATAGAGAACAGTTTCTCATTCATATAAACTAATTTGATTCATACAACCCACTGACATTTGCTTCAAAATTTGATCATTTTACTATTTCTTTTTTCATCTTATATTAGCGGCTCAGTGACGTTTCTTCAAGTTGTAATAAAGTTCAAAAGGGCGGTGTATTGATATAGATTAGGTATGTTTTATTCTCTTTTTGGCCAAAAAACTAGGTTACAATTTTTGACCCATGGGTTGGTAAAAACTACCGCCTTCTGTCAAAATAACATGAAACAATCTTTCATAGTTTAAGACGTAACCCACAGTTTTCTGTCTGTAACACATAAATCATTTCAGCTTTCCTTATCCATTAATCATTCTTAGCAGACAATTGCCTACATCATGCATGAAGACTGAGTAGAAAAAAAATCCTTTGAAGCACAGCTTGTTTTAGCCTGAATGCAGTGACATTTTTTAAACTAAAATAAAGTATAACACAGAAATATACCCTGCTTGGTGTTTGAGTTATTAATTATGGTTAGAGTTAGGTTTTGTTCAGTTTTAAAGTACTACATATCCTCAGCAGCCACTAAATGTGTGTGACAAAAAAAAATTGACCCTGCTATGCACACAACTGATATGCAACAGTGTTGAAAATGTTGGAAAAACATCCAGATGGAGCCACACAGGTAATAAGACTGAGAAATCAGTGTCTCCATCTTTGACTGTGTCCCAAGCAGTTCCAGTTCTGCAGTGTGCAGACGATGACGGAAATACAGATTAGTAGCAGATGGTGTCATCCAGGGAACAAGGCATAAACATTCGGGTGCTTAACACTCCAATAAATCAACACAAGACCCTTGTGGAGTTTGCGGGAATATGGGGAAAACAGGAGCACATAGCACAAGCTTCCAGATTCCTGAATTAAACGTTGTTTTTCTAAGAACACTGTTCGGTTTCTGAAATTCAAAGGAAAGGCATTCATCGGTCTAATTAAATTTTGTATTACAATATTTCTGCTGATCTTAGTTTTTAAAGAGGAGCCTGTTTCGAAGTTTAGTCTTCCCTCGGGTTACTCTGCGGTTAAAACATTCGTCAGCCCCATTAAACCGAGGTGCAAGGAGGAGATAAGATAATAGTTTGGCATGTGATTCTAAACCATCATCTGTCTGCATATTTCTCCAGAGTATTAACTCACCCCATCAACCTAAACTCAGTCCTTTCACTGAACAAAGATAGTGTTTCAGCATCTACCATTAGTAAATTCCTTTCTTTTATGACTGGATTTTTTCCTCGAAGAGGAAATTTTTATGTTTTCCTCTTAAATTATGTCTAACTAAGCGGTGGAATTAACAGCACATGTGGCTGGACTTCACTTTGGTGGATTGATGTGATTGGTATGCATGTCTGTCTCCATATGGAGCTTCTTGGACTTTCTGCTGTCTGTTTTAGAACACATTGAGCATTGGTTCATAATGTTTTAGTTTAGTTA